TGGATCTGAGTCCATTCAGCGTGGACTTGCTCCATCCTGGCTATCCATACCCGACCCATTCTTAACAATATGAATCATACCAAGCCCGAGTTATTTTTGGTGTCTTCAGCTACTAATATGGCTTTCTAGCCAGCGCATGCATTTTGGATGCAGCTGAACATGATTTTTTTTATAACTGTTAGATTACAAGTTTACCATTTTACCTACCACTTAAATTACTTTTTACAAATAACTCAATACAATATATAGTTCCATATTATTTTTCTCTATATTTTTAATAATAACATTGGGGAAGTAATCATTTTGGACGGCGGTATTATGGCATTTGAATATGAATTAGATACTAGCGAATTTTCAGGAATTAGTTCAAGTGGGTAAGAACTTGATCTGTTACTTCAGAAATTATTTAATTATAAACATTTTTTTTTTTTTTTTTGGAAGGAGAATGTATGAGTATAGACTAAAAAAAAAAAAAAAAAATCTTGACACCAGTGTCAGCTCCTTCATTTTCATACCGTACGTTTACTTTTAGAGAAGCGTCCTCGCTGTTTCTATGATGATTCAAGGAACAGGACAACAATTATGTAGCCAATCCATCCTCTAATTTGTAAAGAGAATTTAAGGCATGGAACAACCAACATTGGGTCATCACTCACGGCCCCCACATGCCCCATCTCTCTCTCTCATCACATGATCCAACCCACATGTTGTCGATGTTGCATAAAGATACACTTTTTGGAGTAAAATTGTACGCCAACTGATCTTCAATGCTAAGTTCATCTTTCAGTTTCTAAGTAGAAATTTTTGAATCTGTCTTTTTTTTGGTGATGGCTACTAGTGAGAAAAGAGAGGTTGGCAAATTGTACTAAGCGTCTCGCGCTCTTAGGTCCACAAGAATGTCTTCCTCCAAGACACTCTTCTCTCTCTCTCTCTCTCTCTCTCTCTACATATATATATATATATATATATAGTCTCTCTCTCTCTCTCATCTTTTATTAATATGCGTGTGAAATTCAATGTAAAACTTCTAGGTTGGTGTTGGTTTTTGATACAAAGATTTGAGGAACCTATTATCATGCTAGTTGAAGATGGACATGTCTAGAGTCTATCTCAGGCCCATTTTAGCAACGCCCTTCTGAGTTCTGACCCATTCATTAATTGCCCTTGGAGGCCCTACTCATGTGGGCCTAATGGAAGTATGGTCTCATGCAGAGAAACAAAGGGTCCGTATTTCGGACTAAACCAACTCTATTTATTACTACTACTACTATTATTATTATTATTATTACTATTTTTTTTTTTTTTTTGTCTACTATGAATGTGGGGAAAAAATTTAATTGAGCCAATTGTATTAATGACGTAGTATCATCAACTAATTAGATATTGATACGTAGTGATAGAACTTACTAAAATAAAACAATTTTACTTATATGACATGAAATAATTAGTTGATGATACATATAATAAAATATTAAAAGTGTAGGGAAGTTTTTTTTTTGGAGGTACGAGACATTTTAGGGTATTGAGGTATTCCATACCCTTAAAAATGTCATGTATTTCACTGTTACCCAATTTAGGACCCAAACGCCCCCAATGAGAATCCTAGTTGGTAGTTGCAGAAGGATGATGATCGTGTAAAAGACAAAGCCAAGAACCTTGATACTTGAATGCTTTTGAAAAGCATGGGACCCATGACTTACTCAGAGCATTGATCATTCAAGCCCATCATCTCTGATTACATGGACTGAGTTCAAGAAGCCCAATTGGCCCAAAAGGCCTGTAAAGGACTACAACTTGAACCAAGAGTAAGGCGTTCCTTCTGGCCTGTTTTGCTTGGCCCAAATAAATGATGCTGGTGAAACAATCGTGTTTTCCAGACTTGAGACGGTTGGAAGTTGTTTTGGAGGTAGTTTAGGGAAAAGTGCAAAAAAACCCCGTATTATTAGAGTATTACAAAAAACTCCCTTAAACTAACAAATTATTGCATTTAACCCCATCAGTTTAATAAGAATTGCCAGAAAATTCAAAAGACAATATTACCCTCAATTAAAACGACATACTTTAAAGCATTAGTCACTCAAATTGCTTAGCTGTAAAGTGAAATCCAATGGACCAATAAGAATTTGACATCTCCACGGGTGTGCAAAAATAATTCTGATCCATACCTGCAATTTTGATAGTATGAACAATCGAAGAGCGAAAACTGAGATATCGAACCATGGTGAAATGCCTTTTGCTGATTACTCTAATCGAGTCCAATTACAGGGCATTCACGTTTTGGGCGGCAAGAATATGAGATCTTGTGGCCGCGAATTGATTGGTTGAGAGCAACGATGAAGCCGTCAAATTGTTGTTGGAATCGGAGTGGTGGAAACAGTTGATGTCGTCTAAGGAATGGATTTTTTAATTCAATGATTTCCACATGAACTACATCTTTCGGACCAATAACGCCGCCAAGATCAACACCAACGAACTGGGTCCCTAAACTAGAACTCACCCACTCGCTCTGCAATTTTCCCTTTTTTGGTTTGAATCACCGCCATCAATGGTGATCCGTCTCCTCCTCCAATCTCTTAGGTGAGCATCGTGTCTCAGAGTTTCAAACCCGCCATTTCCACCTCCGACCTTCCCGATCGCCGGCTTCGGCGAGAGCCAAAAACCCCATGCGTCGCAGCACCGGCGGGCAAGGAGAAGCTCGGCTGTGAGCGACGGCAGAGACGACAGACGGTGGTGAGAAGATGGGCTCGGCCGTGGATGAAAGGTTGTACCAAAGATTTGCGAAATGGGTATGGCTTTGAAGGTTGAATTGGGTTGTGATGGTGGGTTTAGAGAGAGGAATTGATGGTCTAGAGAAGTAGGCAGTGGGGAGGACTGAAGGTAGAAGATGGGGTTGTGAGAGATTGGGTTTGTAAAACCATTTCACTTCACCGTGTGAGATCAATCGCGCCGCCTATACTCTCTGCAGTTCCTCATCACAGCCGACCACCGCCGCTACCGCCACTTCAGCCAACGAGCCGCAGTTCTTCCATTGCCGATTCAATCCAGCCGGGCTCGTCGCCGTCGCTGTCGCCATCATCCACGGCCGCTGCACCAATTGGAGTGTGATTCAGACAAACTTCGGTTTTTCGGTGGGAGTGGTTTCACGCAACAGAAGCCTTGGTTTTTCCATAGGAGTGATGCCGCCAGTGTACGTAGTTATGGGGACAGTGGTGATGGTGCCATCGGTGGGGTTGGCGAGGATGGTGGAGGAGTTGGTTTCGATTGTGCCACAAATGGGTTCACAATGGCGATGACGATCGCGATGAAGACATGTATGGATATTGAGTTGTTTTGGTTTGTAAAATTGTGATAAGGTTGTGTGTCGTTGTTTTCTAAATGGAGTGGCCATGGAGATACAAAACAGAAACAAATAATCTGACTAAGGTTGACGTGGTGCCCATCAACGGTGGATCTATCGTCACCTGATCTCACACACATCAACGGTGCCCATCAACGGTGGTTCTTATGATACAGAGACATGTGTGTGAGCTATATATATATATATATATATATAGCTCACACACGTCTCTGTATCATAAGAACCTTCCAACAGCCCCAAATCAATACGCATCGGCCTATATTGCAACATTCACTGCCAAAAAAAATAAAAAATAAAATACATCCTCAATCCTTCGCCAAACAGAATAGGCACGTACCAGAAAAAGAAGAAGAAAAAAGAGTAGAAAACGAAGAAGATGAACAGAGGAAAGAAACAAAAGAAAAAATATATATATATATCAGGGGTGTTAGTGTCTTTTCATGCTCATAAGGGCATTATGGTCATTAAAATCATTGTGTGTGCCACGTGACCATTACATGATCACTTGAACAGTAAGATCCGGCCGGAACCTTGCTGGATGGGGCAATCTGCAATAAAAATGTATAGTTTAAGGGGTTAGTTGCAATTTTAATAGTTTAGGGGGTTAGTTGCTGATTCCCCAATAGTATAAGGGTTTTTTGCACTTTTCTCAATAATTTATTATAAATTCATTTTGAATCATATTCCATTTGTGTATGTGGAGAAACATATTGTATCTATTTTTTTTTAATTAATCCACACGTGTCTCCCCCACAACAAAAACAATATCTATCTAGCTATAAGCTTTAAATTAGTGACTATACTATACGTTTAATTTTTTTATGCATCAATGAAGTATTTTTGCGTTTATATCATACTCATGTCTCATGTCTCATGTCTATGTCCATATCTATATTCATATCCATGTTTCTTATCATTGAACTAGTGTATTGATTTTACAAGCTCTCTTTATTTCTCTCACTCTCATTTTTCTGGCGATGGTACAAGTGAACCATTTGGAAAGTTGTAAATGAACTTAGGCATTTGTGTATTAGTGTTCAAACTTAATTCGAAAATTACTTCTCAAATTCATACTCACATCATTTGGGTTTTTTAACCAATTTTTAGCTCGATCTCAAATCATTATTGAGCTCTGATTGAGAAAGAATAAAAAATGTAATTATAAATCTAAATTCCCAACAACTAAGTCTCGTTCAAAAGCCGTAATAAGTCTATATACAAACGCATTTCTCAATACAAGATTTATTAAATTATAATACATCAAATTAATCAAAGATATCATCATGGTAAGAGGGTTAATATAAAAAAAATTAACAAAATAATGAAAATTCGGTAATTAAAAAAAAAGTTCTGCAGCCGAAAACTATGGATAAATTACACTTAACTCCCTTATATTTTGAATAATTATAATTATCTGTTTTCTACTTACATTTTGTGAACTGATGGTAAGAGTCGATTTTTGTTTGTCATACCACATGCGACTCCAATAGAGAGAACAGTAATTATTCAAAAAAAAAAAAAAAGAACACGCTCACACAAAAAAGAAGACGTAATAATAATAAAATAAAATAATTAAGTGTAATAAACCCTAGCTAGAGGGGACTTAAGTGTAATTTACTTCTAAAACTATTACTCCGTGGTAACTAGAAGTACAGGGAGAAAGAAGAAAAAAGAAAAAAGAAAAAAGAAAAAAATTTATTTTAGGCGACTTCTTCTCTAGGGTTTCATGGGAAAGAACGACCATGAATGATCAATGATTATTGCAATTCCGTGCGTGTTGATGATCAAGTTAGATCAAAAACCTTTGAAGGTTGATACTGGGACGAGCTTGAAGCGAATGGAAGGTAGTGTTGTAGTTTCTGTGGATGATTCAGAGAGAGAGATGGAAAATTGCAGAAACAGGTGTTGTGAATTGGAATTAAAGCTTCAGAATAGGAACAATGAATTCGAATTGCTTGAGGCTAAGTTTAGGGCATTGGAAGCTGAGAATATTGCCACTGTCGATGAGCTATGGGTTTTGAAGAAAAGGAATCTTGAACTTCGAGATCAGATAACTAGGGTTGAAAACGATAGCAAAGTTTCTAGTGAAAGAAATGGGGCAATGGGAAAGATAGTTGATTTGACTGAGGAGAATGATGAAGAGAAGGTTGTTCAGTTGATGATTGAGAATAAGGTTTTGGACTGTGAGAAGAAAAGGGCTGAAAGCGAAACTGAGGTTTGGAAAGTGAAAGGGAAAGAATTGGAGTCACGAGTGCTAGAGTTGGAGAAGGAGATTTCGGTATTGAGAAATGTGGGTTTGGGATCACCAGAAGTGTTTGTAAAGAAAACCAGTGAAGAAAGTGAGGTAAAAGATGGAATCAGTTTTAGGACCAGTTTAGGGCATTTGCAAGTGGAAGAGAAAGTGGTGGATGGTGAGGGAACAAGGGTTGCAGGTATTGAAGGCTCATCTTGTTTCCCTCTTGAAGGAACTGGAGAACTGCACATGACAGGTATCAGATATCTCATCATCAAGATAGTTGCTCTTTTACAATAGCTGTTAACTTTGCCATTTGATTCATTTATGCAAATATATGCAAGCCGTAGGAACTAGAACCCCAATTCTCTTTTTTTGCCAAGAGTGATTCTTTCTATTCCATGATTAGCTATTATGCACATAGATAATGCAGGCATAGGTAATGTTACACATTTATTAAAAGGAAAAACCTATCATGAGAGCAAGTGAGCTTGCGCTCTGTCATTGGATTGAGATTCTGTGAGGTGTGCACCCTTGACCCCATGGTGGTGGTGGTCACAAACTCATGGTGCGAGGCTTTCATGATACAATTGCTTTATTTGTAATTTGGTCCTTTTTGGTTGTGTGCATGTTAATCAATTCAAAATATTGGGCCATCGAAACAATGTGCGTTGTGTGGTACACCTTATTGTTTCTGAAAATAAGGTTTCAATCTATAACCTAATGAACTTTATTGTTTCCAGTAATGGGGTTTCAATCTAACCTATCTTATCTAGTATATTATTATATAGCTTCCAATGGGGCCCATGATATCATTGTGACTTATTATGCCTGGTGTCCTAAAGTGATAATTGATATGAGTATAGAACAATGGACTTATACCAGCATCAAACTTTCTTTGGTTGAAATAATTCACATTGTAAGACTAAATATTTTTACCTGATTGTGTATGCACAGTTAGTTTACAAAAATCTTACTTCCCTTTTCAAATCATTTGTTGCCTAGCAGGCATGTCCTTGGTCGAAACGCCAGGTAGGCAGTCCATACATGTTGAGGGAGGAAATAGAAGTACCCTTATGGAAACCGAATTGTACAATAATCGCCGAGTTAGAAAGCAGTTGGCCTTTGGAGAAGAAGGGTGCTCCAACAAGAAGATGGCTCCGTCAACGCCAGGTGGTTCAAGATCTGCTTCTGTTCATGTCATTGATATATGTGACAGCAATGATGAACCAGATACTATCAGTTCTGATATTCCTAATCTTGAGATTCAAGGGAACAAAGTGGTTTATGTTCCAACTGATTTTACATTAGGATGCATCAAGGATAATGAAAAGAAAATGGCTTCTAACAATAGCATAAAGAAGTCTCTTGTATACCAGAGCAATGAGGAAGATATGGGTGGTTACAAGGGGAATTCTCTGTATATCAAAACTCCCAAACGAAAAAGAGCTCCCAATATTGTAATTAGTGACAGTGAGAGTGATGATGATAATATTCCAATTTGTGAGATCAGGAGGAAGCATCTCCAGGAATTATATCACGACCCAACAGATTCTCATTTGAATAGCTGCTCAGTGACTGTGGCTGTATCTGGGGACAAAGTCAGAGAATCTGTCACTCCCATGCCGCAATGTGAAATCAAAGGTGGTTCACAAAGAAAATCTCGTAGGATTGCGAAATACAGTGAAACTAAAAATCATCCTAGCATCCCTACTAATGAGGATGTTGAAGACGATGAAATGGAAGAGGATGGATCAGAGAGTGAGGGAGAAAGCTTGGGTGGATTTATCGTTGATAGCTCTGACTGTTCTAAGTCTTCCGATGTTGATAAAGCTTCCTCTGAATCGGAAGATGTATCTGATGACAATACAGACTTCAGTGAAATTATATCTAGAATTAGAAGGAACAGAGGTCATAAATCAAATTGGGAGTTTGAGGCAGATATGCTTGCTGCATTTGGTAAGGATCCCGAACTGTGCATGAAGGCCGTATGTGCTCTCTATCGGCAGCAAACTACTGAGGAAAGATCCAGCAAGGGAACAATATACTCCAACCAGCGAGGGTTTAGCCAATGTGATGCACTCAGGTATGGATTATGAAGCATAATAGAGTGATGTAGTTAACTACACACGCACACTATTATAATTCATCAACATATATACATTTCAATTACATAATATCAACCAAACAACATTCACTGATGCACAAACTGTGCTCCCAAACGTGTAAAAAAAGAGATCAATAAATGAGAAGTTACTTAAATCCAATATTTAGATTGTTAATCTTTGTTGGCACGGTCTTCAAAATTATACCTGATCAGTATAAATGAAGGCATTAATTATTCACGTGTCTCCTTGATTGAGGAGATGTACCTATGTACTTGTACATGCTTGTTCCCAAGACATGCATCCTCTCTATGTTACCTTCGTTCTACAGAAACTCATTTTTACAAATGACTCCTCACTTCTACTCTAGAGGAAAACACAATTGTGTTTATGCATATTTTCCATTATCAGTTGAGTTTCTTGTATTTGCGATTTAATCGTTGTTAAGATCGACGAGAGGTTGTAGTACATCTTCAGTATAGTCAAGTTTCTAATCAATCATAGTTGTGAGACACTAATAATTCATTTATTTATTTCTAGAATAAGCTATACATTTTCATGCAGAATCTGAACTGCCTGTAAATGACTAGAGTTCTCTGAGATGAGGCCATTTTTCCAACATCCATCAACTTGCCTTCTTGGGAAAGGGAAATTGTTGTATGTGGGTAATTGAAAATACACTTCCCTTGGCTAATGTGCTTCATAACACCTCCAGCTGCTGAACAAGAGTGAAAAGACGCAATTTTGTATGCATCATGTACTGAATTCGTGAGTATATAAAAAATTGCCCATGATTCGGTAGTGACATGCCATCACAGTACTGGGTTTATCCAGCAAAGTGGAAACATCGTATCTCATTCTGTCATTTTGAATTACAGATGTACTTGTAGATATGTTCTCATTCTGTCATTTTGAATTACAGATGTACTTCTAGATATGTTTGGCTGATAAACATATTATATTGGTTTTCTGGACTCGTGGTTGAAAGTTTCTTTTATGGTCTTTTAGGGGCACTAATATTGCTGAGTTCCTTATTGATGGAGACCCGGAAGGCGATCTAAATAAATCTGTGGAGGAGTTACAAGAGTATAATCACAAGGGCCTTGAACTCTGCAGAACACTGGCAACTCGCTACTCTAAGCAATTGTTCTCAATCTACAGCAACAAGGAGGATCCCCTTTTTCTTCCCGACTGACATGGCCTGCCTTAGAGGATGGTATTTGGAATGTTAGATGTTGTATATGTATATATTGGGCAAAAGTAATTAAAGGATGGTATCTTGAATGTTAGATGTTGTGTGTATATGTATATATTGGGCAAAAGTAATTAGAGGATGGTATTTTGAATGTTTTCCATGCTCTGCAACGTATATACTGATTACTAACATAGCAACAATGATATATAAAATGCTTATATTTCTAAGCCTGTTGTGTTTGTTTAATCATAAGTTTAGAAAGGGACAGGGTAACAAGCCAGACTCAAACTAAAAAAGAAGGCATATACTAATAGTACTTGTCTACTCTAGGAAATTTTTGTAAATTTTATTTTCAGCTACAAGTTTTTGTTTTCTTTAATAAATGCAGCTTTATTTTTGGTTTTGTGATAGAGTCCTCAGGTAATAATCTAGTAATTAAGGAGTGACCCACTAACCCTCATCTTATTACAACAATAACAACCCAAGTATTTTTCCAATTAGCTCGGCTACATAAATTTTTATTTGGCTCTATTTAAGGCTATAACTTCATTTAAAACTCTCTCTTTCCTTAGAATATGTCATTTTTTTTATTTTTTTATTTGACATGTTTAAAGATTTTCTTTACACATGTCCAAACCATCTTAATTCACCTCTTAATTATAGAATAAAATCATCTTCTGCAATCAATTTCCATTCAACCAAGAACTCGGGCGGGTGACCCTAGTTGGGCTCATTGACCATCATAGAAAGCCCAAGCCCAACCCATGAAGGACAGACTCGTCATTCTGCAGGCATACAAGGTCCATTTCAGGAAAAATAAAAGATTTGCATCAATTCAATCAGTGATGCTTCAAAAATAATAGTAATAAATAATAATTAGTAATAAATAAAAGAATCAGCTATGTTGGCAAGCAACAACTGAGAATCAGGGACAGAGTGGCAACTACCGCAGCAAAACAGAGCAAAAGCCAGAAAAGCAAAAAAACGGTCACATGGCTGGTGGGCCCAATTTCTTTGTGTGGTTGGGCCCATTTCGAATATAACCCATTTTAAGACCTCTATATATATATACACACTCCTGTCTTCATCAAAATCACTCTGCCTTTCCTCAACATTCTGTCCTCTCTCTCTCCTTTCTTCATTCATAAAAATGGAGGTTCCAAGAGCTTCATTTGTAGCCATGACCATTGTCGCTCTCATCTTCGCCGTTGTTTTCCCTGCCGCTGTGGCTGATTCCACTGCTCCTGCTCCAGCTCCGGCTCCCACCAGTGACGGTATATATATATATATATATATATAACTTTTTCATGTTTGGTTGGGAGGAAAGTTATAGAAAAAATAAATAAAATGTTTGGGTTGATGGGCTGTTTGAACTAATTTATAATTTTGTGTGTCAGGGACATCAATAGATCAAGGGATAGCATATGTGCTAATGCTGGTGGCTCTGGTGCTCACATACCTCATTCACTGAATTTATTTATGGACATCTCAATATTTTAAATCCCCTGCAAAGTTGTTCTGAGAGAGAGAGAAAGTATGAATAGTGATTGGCTTGTTAATAGGAGGTGTTTTCATTTATTAGGGAGGAAAAGGAGGTGAATTGAATTCTTCTGTAGGTGGGGTTTTGTTGGTGTTGCACATTTTGATTATAGGGTATTTTGATTGTAGGGGCTCATTCCATTCTTTATTGGTGTCAACACTTGCTCTTATTTAGTTATTTTTTTTTTTAATAATTTTTTTTTATTTTTAAAAGTAAACACTCACAATCATTATCCACATGTCCAAAATCATCCCATTGGACTAGAGACTATCTGGGGTTAATGTTTTCCTTTTGCATGTTTTTTATTATTAATAAAAATTAAAGCTAGTTACAAAATATATATATATATATATATATATATATATATAAAAATTCATGCTGACAAACTGAAAATACTTACAAATAATGCCAATTCTCAACTAGGTTTACTCATTGATCCTATGAGGTTTACTTGTTAGATCTGTAATCACAAGGCAACATTAGTACAAAGCTAGATAAGTTTTTTTGTATGTCCTGCACGGAGAAAGTTTTGAGACCAGAGAATATAACTTGGTACATAAATAATTTTAAATTTTGGTTTGGAAAAAAATTATTTAGAGAAAATTTGAAATTGAAGAAAAGCACTTTGACTGCTAAATTTTGTCTGTTCTCGGCAATCTTTTGGGATATAAACATATAAATTAAGCTGCTTTACTACTGCTTCTTTTAGTAGTGGTGTTTGTTTTTGAATTTATGAAATCTTGAGGTCTTTTTGGGTAACTTTCTACAGAGCTTATTTCCTACTCCCAAAACTACAGTTAAATTACACCGACCTCCTCTGAGGTTTTAACAAATCATACATGAATATACCATTCAACATTTATTACTTTAACCTCCCCTAAGATTTAAGAAGTGCATTCAACACTAACCACTACTGTTTTTCCTTGATAAACTTGTTGACCAACTTTTATAAAATGATAATTTTGTCAATTCATATATAAAATATAAAATCATAGCATTACTTACTTTTCATACTCAAATTCACTTTTGGCTGCTTGCGAACGGGTATAGAAAAAGTCTAAAGTAATAAACGGCCTACCCTAGTGTAATTTTGCTCAAACCTTAAGAAAGGTCACTGTATTTTAACCCCCCACAAATAAACCAGAATATATAAATATAGAGAGAGAGAGAGAGTTGAAAAGCCATAATAACTTTAACTGAGATCAACTCAGAAAAAATTGCTTACTAAAAGACCAAATGTTACAAAATTTCTTCTCAACATGAGAAGTAATAACTTAACAGCCTAAATTGGGAGAAAAAAATTATTTCCTGCATTGGCAGGCCTTCAGAAGAGCATCTACCGTGAACAAAACTGCTCGTCTGCATGCTATAATATCCACATAAAAGCTACTAAATTTTCTTTGAAACAAGTTCCTTTGCTAAGTCAGCGAATACTGCCAGCCTTCTATGAATGAGCAACAAAATTCAGAAAAGAATCAACTTTTGGGGGAACAGCAGCTCTCCCCACCAACCTTTTCATCAGGTTGCATATTGATGATGTAGAACATACTTTACAACTTCATAGAATGAAACCACAATCCCAACGGAAGGGCCTGCCCGACCAACACGAGGACCAACACCTGTAAACAGTCCCCTCATCCCGCCGTCCCTGCTCCAAACAAATTTTAAATTCAGGAATCATTTGGCAGTCAATGTACAAGAATAGTGGCATTTGTAAAGAGATCAACACATTAGCATGTCAATAGGCAATTTGTGTGCGCACTTATTTGCTTGGTTCAAATGTACTTCATGCAACCAATATAAAAGATCAAAAGGTGTATGTAAGATCCCCATGAAGAGATTCCACACGGATATGGGTCACGGGGACATCCACACAAAGAATCCTAATAGAAGTAGAATATGCACACGTACACGATTATATAAAAACATAATTTTTTATTTACATACATCTATTGAGTCAGATTTCTATGAAACTTTTGATTAATTTTTAATGTCTATACTAAGAGTAACATAATTTAAAAGATAATGTGAATATTGTAATGATTAGTATTATTATTTATGCTACTACTCCACTACTACTTTGTCATTATGTTTTTAGTCTATATTAGAAGGTATCATTTTATAATTGACTTGTGACCAAGTGTGTGTCATATTTCTTAAAGAAAAAAAGTAGGAAACTTTGAGATGTGATATATTGGGTTTTCCAGTTTTTGATTAGTCTAGATGTGTTCGTGTTATTTAAGACTTATGTTGGAAATTGTGTGAAAGGGTTGGCCAAATATCAGGGAAGTGTTGGCCAAGTGTCCAGAAGTGTCAGAAATAGTAAACATTTTTAAATTATGAATACATCGATGGTGTTGAAACGTGCCAGTGTCCAATATATGTCCAAGAGAGTGTGGAACATGAAAAGTTATGATCATTGGACTGTTTGGACCCTCGGATCAAGTGGTTTGGTGGTAGCATGTCCACCGTATTAAAACCACAACAGCGTTCCATCATATTTATCGGACAAGAAGGAACCCACAAGTATACCTACCACGTTTATGTTGATCTTTCATTTCGATCATGTATATAAAATATTGCTTTACTATATAAATACAGTTAAGGAAGACATGTACCTCCAGATCTCCATTAGTGTTTGCCTTGTCGTCATCCTTAATGCCCTGGCAGGATCCTTCTGAAAAGAGAGAGAACATATATTAGAAGATATGATTACAGCAGACTAGTGTATATCCTCATATCTAAAGAATTATATGTAAGCTTCCACCTCTCTTTTTTTTCGTTCAGCAGTTTTTAAGTGTAACATTATATTTAAATTATAAAAAAATATCATCTTTTACATGTCAACCATTCAGATCCATATTCAACCAAAAAATAAATTAAAAAAGCCATTCAGATCCACAACGGCAACATATGAAAGCAAATGATAAACTAGGGAGGGATGCACACTGGCTCATTTGGAATGGACAATGGATATTGTTTATGTACACCAACTAAGACAACAGGTCATGCTTTGGTTCCTGTGTGTGTGTGTGTGTGTGTGTGTGTGTGAGTGAGAGAGAAAGCATTCATATGTAATTAAGAAAGCTCATGCATCAACAAGCAAAAGAGCATGCTAAGCACATGCAGAGTACAGCACTAAAAACTGGAAACCACCACTAAACTGTCTCCAAAAACAACAAAACCTGATCAGATGGTCACAATAATAGTTCTTCAACAAATCAAAGTCAAATTCCATTCAGTTAAAAACTTCAGTAATAATGCTATGTTTGGGAACTTTGAATCGGCATTATAAAATAGGAATTGGAATTGGAGAAAATTTAGTTCGAAGTTTCAACTAATCTTTCTCCAATTCCAATTCAATTCCAAGGTGCCAATTTGGTGCTCCCAAACGCAACATAAACGATTACAATGATTGTGTTTTGTTCATATTCACTACATGACATATCCTTGTGAATATGTTGTAAGAGTAGTTAGCAAGTTGCAGAATGTCTTAAATTCCCAAGAGCAAAATAGAGACAAAACTCCACAGTTAGCTTTAATGGTGTACCAAAACAGAAGAAAGAGTAGGATACGAAAGCAAAGAGAAAGAGGATAGATGAGAATAGTCTTATCCATGTCACTTGTCATTGAATTTAGTCATGCACTCTAAATGAAGTGTGTTGGTAAAGGTTTGTATGCAAAGAACTGAGGAACTCTAATACAACAATCAACATAGGAACCTCACCACCAACAGAAGGAAAGTCTCGTGTGTTCCTTCCGAAAAAAGACAAAAAAAAAAAGTCTCATGTGTTGCAGGAAAGGTATGTCTTTTATAATTAAAGATCCTTTTTAATTACAACTGAAACATCATGTGCACACAATCTAAGAAAGATCTTACAGAATATAAAAAAAGATGTGCAATAGTTGGCAACCACACTTAAAAGGAAAATACACAATAACGTAAGATACATAAAGTGCATAAACAGGCTGCCAAATATTATCCTAATAGAAATAAATGTTGTCTACTTCCCCCAATACAGAAAGATAAATTTGGTTTTGAATAAACCTCTATCTGCCTCCGGGTTTTTGCAACATCTAGTGGACACGTAGCAGCAGCAGCAAGACTTCCTGCAACAAAACCAGCAGAGAAATTTGCCCCAAGGACACTGGCTGCTTTGGAATCCTCACCTACCAGACTAAGAAGTCTTCTCCTGATCTGTACATATTATTTAAAAAATAAAAAATTCAAAACACAGAATATACGTACAAACCAGATCCAGAATACAGTTATGAGAATAGACACTCACAGGTTCAAGAGTCGACCAACAGATTGCAGAGAAAGGTACATCACGAGCAAGCTGTGCCCCAAGGCCAGTCCATAGGACGCGGTAGTTTTGCACTGTAACAGGAAGCGTAAGTGATAATACAAGCTTATAGAATTATTTGTTGCAATGTTCCCATTGGTAGCAAATCTAATACTTACAGATGTTCTGAAGGTTGTTTGTGCTCTTGACATGAGAGGTGACCTCAACCAAAGTCTTCCATATTCCAGGAGGCTTCTTACCACTATGGATCTCCTTAAATGCCTATCAAGACAATAATGTCATAAAAAACCTGGATTAAGAAGCCACAACTAAAAAAAATGTAATACTCCGTAAGTGCAGCAAAAAGCTACTAGGGAATTCGAGGGGGAAAACAATATAAAGAATAAATCATGAAGATAATGGCAATTTTAGCTTATTATTTACAGTATCATAGCATAAAAAAATTATTCATGAAAAATTAGGGTACCCAAGATTGCAATTAGCACCGCCACCCCTTCCAAAATCCCCTTAAAGCCAGAAAGTTTATGAAGAGTTTATATAAGTAAATGAATTTAATAGTGCCTGTGAGGAATGTGAACTCTCATATATTTAATTTAATTAACACTACTAAGAATTTGTCCACATCCACCCATCACACTGAGGTAATAAATTAAAATATATATATATCAAAAATCAATACAAGAAGTACCTGCATGCGGGTTCTAGCAAGTTCAATAGGGTAGCAGGAAGTGCAAGCTAATGAGCGTGCCATTGAGCCTGCCACTAGAGGGGCATAGGGTGTCAAGCCTGGAGCATTTTGGGTTGTGTATTCCTCTAACTTGTCGCGGAAAATGTCATAGCATGGCAGATAGATCCCTACCTGCTTAGAGAACAAAATTTAACCAGGAATATAAGCTTACAATAAATAATCATGCACATCCAACAAAATCCCAACAATGCATTGTGCCAATAGAAAACAACAGAGCCTGAGTTGCCTAGGAACTTACAGTTGGTATAGCCAGTGCAAGTCCTGCATTGGTGCCTCTCCATAGCCTCGCAAATCCTTCCTGCAAAAAGTTAGCCCTGTTAAACATCTGGAACAATTGCATTAGATGCTGAACACAAGATCCACACTAGTATATAAACCACAGCTGCTAAAACATATACTACAATGCCTTTCGTAATCAAATAACTGTATGTGGTGCCCATATGGTTGAACCAAACAGTTCTGCTGGATGGCACAAACCAGCATTTGGAACTAACATCTTCTGACAGAAAAATGGAAATATTAATATACCTAAAAATGACTATGTAAACTCACCAACCTGTCTAATGATTTTGTAGAAGACATCTAGTGTTCCCCTGTACTGGAAACAATCAGGAGGACAAATTACTACGGTACCTTGAAGCCCAGCTCGTGTGCACGATGGAGAACACCTTAGATCAGCAAACATCTGAACAAAATAATGCATACGCCAGAATAAATTTCATTTACCCAGAAAGAGAACTGAGCAAAAAGGCCGCATCTAACAGGAGCCCATTAGAAAGCACAATGATAAAGGAGTTTTGAGCACGTTAAATGTGAAAGTCAGAGTGCATCAACTTTTACATAACAGTTAAACATAAATCTTAGAGTAGAGGAGAAAACAAAGTAAATTTGAAGATCAAATTAGGAAATTAAGGCTCTCGACTGGGTTAGCAAACTGTATCAATCCCTTAAGACTGATAAATAAACCAAGTTTAACAAACTGAAGAAAAGTAGTGACCACATTTGTTGAAAGAAATGGAAAAAAGGTGTATGGTGGAATTGTAGTATAATACTTTTCCCTTCAAAGAAGTACACAAACATTTCCTGGCACATATTTAGTGGAATTTATAAAATAAAATAAAAAATAAAAAAGCTACTGACTAAAAAACCCACAAGAAGTTGAGCTTCTTCTGGATATTTCCACACACAGATAATAAACCAGTCTATCACACCAGCAATATAATTCATCCGACCAAAAGAACAAGAAAAAGATGTGTTTGCACAATAAACATGAACATCATGAAGGAAAATGATTTCAGTATATGATGGCGATTAGAGACTCATTTATTCCTGCAAGAATATATAAAATAATAACAAATTTTGATAGAAAAATAACTCTTCCATTATGTATTCCATTATACTAGAAGGCCCAAATCATCCTATGCAAATGTCGTCACAGGAAATGAACCAGTGGATGCATCATTAGGACACGTAACAAATGATAACAGTTTTTTTTCCCAATTCATTAACTATATAGAAGAGAATTTCGTACAAATAATGGAATTGACGACATTCCAATGCTACAGTAAACAAAATGACTCCAGTACAAATGTCATGTGAAACATGACGAATGCTATCGTTTGCACAGAACATCCGAGTGGCACTAAATATATAGAGATATACTTGTAAAATCTAGCCTGTTTGGTTCACTATTTTCTAAGAATAGCTCTCAAAAACTCAGAAAACAACTTTTATAGAATTACAAAAGGCAGTCTCTGAATTTTCAAAACTGTTAAGCAAATTAATATTTGTACTGTTTTCTGTTTTCCAGCACTTTTTCTGTTTCTTTAAAAGAAGAGTAATGATATACAATACCACTACATAAGCCGATTAAACAAAACGACTAAAAGATAACCACTGGATATGTACATGTGGGGTCCAAACCATTTTATTCTTTCATTTTTTCCCTCTCATCTCCTTTAGTCGGTTAAAGCTTTCAGTCTCCTAATATCATTTTCCTTACAACAATGAGGGTAGGAAATGAAGTTGCTTAAAGCTAGATTTTGTTTCTAAGAATTTTCAATTCCTTCAGTCCATTCTTTTCAAGAATCATATGCAGGTTAAAGTTTACAACAAATTCAAGGAAATAAAAAACTTTAACTAATGGTGTCGGGGTATAACATTGATGCAGGTGTCCAGAGCCCTAAGTCACATCTATCCAACATAAATATATTGAAAATTTTATTTATTTGTTTGTATCTTAATTATATATGTGTGTATAGATCACCCAGTAAGAATTGATAAAACCAATTTTGACAGCAGACAGATGGGGCACTTGTCTTGGACTCTTAGTCATCAGTTAGATTGATTTGTTTCTTATAAATTCTTCAATGGTATCTAAAAAGTAATCAATGGAACAACATCATGCAGATTTATAGGCCAAAGAATATCCTAGATATGGCTCACAAAAAGCATTTAAGCATACCATATTTGGTCCAGAAAACGCCATGCGACTTATAATGTTACTTAGTGGATGTGAGTGAGAAACTCCAGCAGCTTGTGCTTGCAACCTCGTCTGCAAAAATAGGATAAAAATCGTGGTCATTATACATAGATCCTTCAATTCGCTCAGTAGTCATAGTTAAGGAAATTCTTCAAACAATCCGAATAAACGGAATAATCAAATTTAACTCACAAAACCTTATTACAACTATGCAAAATGTAAACATAATAAAAATAAAAAGCCCAAAGAGTAGCAAACTACGAAACATGGACATTGGACACTGCGCCGAAACTTCCCCAACGTTTCATGAATCATTCCCAAGCAGTTGGCCGACATTTCCGGAATGGCCCTAGCACAAGTCTTATATAACACACATCCAGAGTAGCCATCTTTGGCAATCTTGAAAATATAAATGATTAATGTAATCTTGAAAATAATGTGAACATTTTTCAGTGTCTCCAACTTTCTTCTTTAGGTAAAAAATTGACATTATACACATGGACATAAATGAAGCAGATAATGATAACTTTTCATGTAGAACAAAAATTTAATTGTAATGACAAAGTAGTGGAATAGTAGCATATAACAATCATTAAAATAATTGCGTAAGCTTAGAGATAGAGCAGGACCTTACGCAATAGATGTGTATAAATAAAAACTTACATTTATAAATAGCCATGTCAACACTGTGTCCTTGTTCTACTTTTTTTAGGATTTGCCGTATCTGTCTTTGCTACTTAGGTCGCAAACCAAGTACACATGGGTATCCAGAAGCTCAAGCAAAAGACAGAGAACTAAAATTTCCAGTAAAATCTAAAAAACTGCCCCAGGAGGGGTTCCCCTATCGAGTGCCCACCTGTACAACAAAATATAAATCTAGCTAGAGTCAATTTCTCCTCCCCATCAATGGAACGACTGAGTTCTTTCATATGCACCACATGAGATAGAGCATGACCATTGACCACTCTTTCTATATTCTTTCACAAACTCTTTTACTCATCAATCACCCAGCATGTCCACTAGAGTCTTGGGAAACACCCATGAACTCCAGAAAGAGAAAGCAACAATGAACAAAATTCTCAACCCCAAAATGACCTACCATGATGTCTTCCCTTGCCATGACCATCTCAATCCAAGTTAAAAATCAAATTTAATATACATCTTAGTATTTAAAGATAACAGGAAAAAACCATCATACTTGTACCATGAAGAATTTATTAAAATGGTGCCCAAAGAATCAACACAAAAACAAGTTCAGCTATATTCCATTACAGGAATGAAGGAAACACAATAGAAGATGAAGACACAGAGAATACATTATACTTTTCCATTGATTACAATTAGATTAAAATCATAAAAACTAAATTGTTTAGAGAAAACAGAGGCATACACTATGAATTAATAGAAATACCACTTAGCAAATAATACAACAGCATTGTATCTATGGACAAAAGAAGAAACACAAAAGAGCAACCAGCAAACCTACAGTATGTAAAACACCAAGCATAAATCCCCAACAAACACACAGAAAACATTACAAAATAGATAAATAACAATATAAAGAAAAGAATAACTTGAATATACAAATGGGCATATATCACAAAATCAAAAGAAAATCATTTACAAAATTGAAAATTTCAAAAGATTAAAACAAATGCCTTGACAACATCTAGTGGGTTGACAAGGACTGCCGAGAGCACTGCAGCACCAGCAGCAGAGAGGCTTCGCTCGTGGAAACCCAATTTGACATCAGATGTGTTGTAGGAATGGTGAGGCTGAGAATGAGAAGCTCCCATTTCTTCTGCTGAGGATTTCTCAGTATCCATCCATGGATTTTGGGTATGCTCTGGTTCTCCTACCATCCTCTTTGAACCTCACGTTTCCGTCTCTAAATCCAAAACTTGATCAAAATGAATCAACCTGAAATGGGTCATTGCCAAATGATTAATAACTGGTTAATTTTTAACGAAAGAGTACTAAAAATATGTATAACCATAAGAGTTTCCTATTCCTCCACCCCATCACCCTAAAACTCTCCCACTTGATCAAATATATGGTACTCTGAAATGGGTGGCTAAACTCCGTTAGATTATTCATTTTTCGGACACGCAATCAATCAAAAAAAGAAAAATAAATAGAAAAGAAAATCAGAACTTAGATAGAAAGAAATGTTAAAATGCATATTTGTGAAACAAAATTAAAAAAAGGGAAAAAGAAATTGAAGAACCTGTTGATCTTTTAATTTCGGTTGTTTGCTTATGATGGTAGAGCATAGACTTGATTAGCGGCTTCTGAGAAGAGCTTTCTTCCGAGTTCCCTGGAGAACAGGAAAGAAATAAAGAGAATGAGAAACAATCCAGGGAAGAACGGAAATAGAGAACTCTCTAGATTAGGGTTGCGTTTGGTCATGCCTAAAGAGAGAGCTAAAAACGATTCTATTTTTTTAATATTTTTATTTTATTTATTTATTTATTTGTTGCAACTAAAGTCATAGAAGAAGGGGAGAAAATTGTGAAAATACTCGGAAAGGGAGATCATTTTGATAGTCTACTCTTTGATTTCCGTGGTTTGGACAGGTTGAATTAGAGAGACAAACACAGCATTAGTCATATATATGGCCATAATAACCTTCTAGAAGTTCTAGGGTTTCTAATATAGTTCCTGAGATGGTGCCGGTCACACGGGTGGTAAATCAAAATTCAAAGCACCAAACAGATGGATGAATTTTATAATTTACCAGCTTTAAAGAAATTACAATAATAATAAGAATTAAATGCAAAAAAATACTCCTGAACTATAGACTAATCAACAACAAACTCCCCTAAACTACAAAAATTACAAAATATCTCTGAATTATATAATTTTGTTGCCGATTACTCCATCCGACGATCGGCCGGTAATATCTCACCGGTAAATTGATCATGCACAGTCACGTGACATATAAAATATAACTTAATGACTATAATACCCATAAGACCACAAAAAGACTTTATTACCCTTAATTATAACCATAACACCAAACCCCTCTTTAAATAACTTGCCAAAGAGACGCTTATACTCTTTTGTCTATACACACACACACTATTCATCTTCTTCACAAGGCCTGCTTTTCTAATCTTTTTAAAAAAAATGTCAACCCTTCTTTATTTGGGTATGTTGTGCATGAATCAGAAGAGGGAAAATCCTCTTGAAATTCAGAAGCCATGTAGGCCATATCTGCGCAGATCTCCCACCCTCTTACTAAGAGACCATTTACCTATTGCACAGCTCAGGACAGTAACACCAAGACCAGTTGAAATCCCAAGTTCTTCTGAAGCAAAAACTAGACGTCTTCAACAATCACCCTAGACAAAGGATCAGCAGTCTTAAAATGAACCACAGAATGGAAATCACTTTCCAAATCAACATACAAATATCCTCATTGGATAAGAATCCACCTGCCATATATTGTGTTGATATATATATATATATATATATATATACTGAAGATGCAAGAAATTCCTTCTCCTCTTTCTCTCTCTAGAATTCTTACACCTCAACCAAAAAAAGATCCCCCTCCTTTCCATTCCATATCCTATTTATAGATATTTACAAGATATTTACAAGATATTTACTGATTGCTGGATCTGGGCCTATTCCTCCATAAGCCCTGGTCACCTTTGATGGGCTTACTCCCGTTCGGCCCATATGGCAGTGTCTTTATATGGGCCGACCCAGCTGTACGAACTGAATGCTGTGTTTGCGAGTCGAATCCGGCCCATGTCGTCCGGGGCCTCCTCAACTGCCCCCATAATTGCCCCCTATTTAATAAGGGGTAATTATTGATGGCGTCTCATCATGATGTTGACGGCTCGAGATAACCACGTGGGGGAGCGGACGGTCAGATCCAGAATCAATGTTCCGGGGCTCGAGGAATTTCTCGCCTTCCCGACGCTTCGGCCCTCGGGCCCCCTCGCCTTTATAATGCTCTAGAATTCCACTTCACTTCCCTTTACCGTCTCCATCATCAGCCAAGTCTCTCTCTTTCTAGAACAGTGCTAAGCTTTTTCTGGTGAAATCCTTCAAGAGTCATTCTTCCAGCGATCTTGCAGTCCTCCGAGGTTAGTTTCGTTCTTTTTACTTTCGGCAGGCTTCCATTTACCCCCTTTTAGATTCTTCTAGCACTTCCACCATGGTTGTAGATCTGGATGTTCTTCGTATGAGACTTAGACTTCCTGACAACATCGAAGTTAGGGTTTGCCCCCAGGATGTTAACATTAAGACCGGCGCCGGCCTCCTGCCCGGCGAAGTCTTATTCACGAACCTTCAATTGAATGTTGTTAGGTTCCCTCTGCACCCTTTCTTTAGTTATGTCTTCAATAGATTGGGGATATCCCCTCTGCAGGTCAACCCCAACTTCTTTAGAATCATATCTGTTATGCTCTTGTTGATGCGTGACAGAAATCTGGACCTCGACCTCATAGACCTCCTTCTGTGCTATAAGGTCAGTAAGATCCGTACTAACGAACCCTTCTACCACCTCTACCCGTTCGAGAAGATGTCCATATGTACGGACACAATAAAATCTGAGAAGGGTTGGAGGGATAGCATAGTGGGCATTAGTGGGGCTTGGTCTTCGCCGGCTGCAGAGGATTACCCAATCCCGAGCGCCTTTGGTGTCTGTTCTGTCTCCTCCTATAAGAAATTCAAATCTCATAAACATGACTGCCCCTGCGAAACATGCGTTCCTCGTTTTTGCACTTTCTTATGCCGTTCCTTGGGAATACCTTGTGATGACTTGAGTTATAGTGTTTGCAGGGATAGGAGTAACTACTTGAAGAAATACGTTCTGAACGATATTCCTTCCTGCTCAGATCTCCTCACTTCAGACAACCTCTTAGCGCTCTCATCACTCGGCTACAACATGAGCAGACTTCAGATTCTTTCTTTTGGCAGGAAGAAAAATACTCCCCCAGCCACTCCTGCTGCTGGGGCGACCTCCTCTCCAGCGTCAGCTTCTTCCTCAGCCACCATATCTGACACTGTCCCGAGCGCAGTGGCTATTAACCCTGTCGCCAGCGCCCCTGCTGCCAACCAGAACGCGTCCCCCCCAGCTACCATAGCTCCTGCTGCTGCGGGGGGCGGTCGGGACAAAGAACGAGGCAAAAGGCCTCATCCTGATAGTGAAGTCAATCCTGAGGAGGAGCCTCTCATTAGAAGGACCCGGGTCTCCGGGCCGGGTGCTCTCTTGCACCGAGCGGTCAGAGCTCCTGCTCCCTCTGGGCCTGCTGCAGCTGGTGGCTCTGCTTCTGCTTCAGGCCCCTCTTCTATCCCCACCTTACCGCCATGGGCCCCTCGGTACACCCGAACGGATGGGACGTTCGTGAAACCGAACGAGACCATGCTGAAGGATGGCCAGACCGCTATGGCCTACTACAGGAGCATGTGGACTCCGAAGGACCTTGAGGCGGCAAAGGGCCTTTCCCAGAAGGATGTGTTCAGCCACTTTCCCCAATCTGCTATGGAGGTGACTTTTATTTTCTAACTCATGCATTCTCTCATATTATTTGGTCTTGCCTTCGCCCGACCTGACTATTGGCTTAACCGTTTTTAATGTGCACCTATGCAGACATTGTTCGGAATGATGGCCATGCAGAAGCAGGTGGAGATGGGGAACGCCAGGGCCCGTAAGTTTTCTGACAGCCTGGAGGTGGCTAATAAAGAAAACGACCTCCTCGCCATGAAGAATACCGAGGTACTGGCTCGGCTTGACAAAACCGAGCAAGAGAGAGATGTCCTGAAGAAGGAGAATGATTCCCTTCAGGATGAGAAGGACGCCCTCCAGCTTGAGAAGAGCGTCTGGCAGACCGAGCGGGAATCAATTAGAGAAGAGAAGGCAGAACTCCAGCGCCTTCTAGCTGATGAACAGTCTGCTCGGATGGCTTTTGAAAAAAGAGCTCTGGACGAGCGTACCGCTCTGATCGACGCGATCAGCAGAGTGGGTGGTGGGATGCTGGCCCTTCACGCTCGGTTCTCAAGGGTCGGTGCTCTTAGGTATGCTCAAGGATTCCGGGAAGGTTTCGCCGACCGGGTTCCGGATGAGGGACAGACCAGCTCCACTCCGGATGAGGTAGACAAGGATCTGGGGATCGAACCTCTAGGGGTCTATGTCGACCCAGAACCCACCGAAGCGGAGCGTATATTTGATGAGTGCCAGGACATTGCTTCCTCCAGGATCATCACAGCTCCTCCTACCGCTCTGCCACTGACCGCTCCTCAATCGTCAACCGTGGTTCCTTCCATAGCCACTGCTGACGCTGAACCCCAGCCGAACGATTCAGTCATTCACCTTGATTCCCCACCTCATGAAGGTGAGACGGCTGATGGGGCCGAGGAGGCAAGTTGGCACGACCAGGATGCTGTTGGTACTGAGGCGTCTAGCTAGGGCTCCTTTGAATTCTTCCATTCCATATCTTTTTGTAATGATGGACATCTCTCTTTTGTAAACTCAATGCTCAATATTAATGAAACGACAGAACTCTTTTTCCCTATGTGTTGTGCTCTATTCAACTTATCTTCAATACATACATATCTCTTCTCTCTTTTTCTTTTATATTAGCTTTGCCGTGTGTCTGTTTATGGCAAGTGCCTGGCGCTCGGCTAGGATGCCACTTGCCACTTGGCTTTAAGTTTTTAGCAAGTGTCTGGCGTTCGGCTTATAGTGCCAGCTGCCACTTATCTTGCTTAAGTGCCTGGCGCTCGGCTAGAATGCCACTTGCCACTTGGCTTTAAGTTTTTAGCAAGTGTCTGGCGTTCG